CATTGAGTCTTAAGACTGCTAAATAGTAATATATTCTGACAGTTTCTTAACGTTAAACTAAACTTTTATTTTGACGGGTTGCCGTGAAGAACTTACAGCTGCTGTGTATGTGATATGACGGTAGTTTTCTCAAATGAAACGGTAAAATGCTAATGAAGTGACTCTCAGAGCAGCTGGAGATGACATTCATGTTCATATCATCATATAGTGAGACGGCATAAGCTGAAAACACCGCGAGCGTCGAGATATATATTGTGCGAGCGTCATCCGAGATTTTGTATGTGTGTAGCAAACAAAACGGTGCGCAGTGCCATTATGCGCTAAGTTTTTGGATGTGAGCAGACTCTTTTGCGCGTGCAACGTTTCACTAGCTTGCTCACCTGATGCCTGCCCTCAGTGCTCTCTAAATGCCAACGGCTCACTTTCTCAACACATTCACAACCCAGTGTTACAATATGCCGTAATTCCAGCCAATCAGAGAAGAGGCTGCTAAATTCTGATTGGCTGCCTTGACAACCATTCACAACATTTCTTGCATTACCTCGGCTGCAGAAGAGGAAAAATACAGTGCATGCATAATTATTATGCAAGTTGATATTCTGATTATATTTTTTTCCAAGCACATTTTACCAATTCCAAACAACATCAATCTTAATAACCACTATTAATCTTGTATTTAATCACTTATAATCTATATATTATTGTTCATGAAGGCTGGAAGTGAAAAACGCCTTATATTCAGGTGCGTATAATTATTAAGCAGGTTATCTTCTACAGATAAAATCTCGAGATGGACTAAAAATGAACTCCCAAAACTTACTGCCAGATTCTGGAAGATAAATTCTTCAAACAGTGATACACAAGAAGATGTGGTGCTGGTCCTTCAAGAGTCACTCTCAACTTATCTGTCTATAAAGCTATGGCATATTGTAATGCTGGGTTGTGTTGAGCAAGCGAGCTGTTGGCATTTAGAGAGCACTGAGGGCGGGCATCAGGTGAGCAAGCTAGTGAAACGTTGCACGCGCAAAAGAGAAGGTCTGCACACATCAAAAAACCTATTTTAAATGCAAAATTGATTTTTGTGCACTCTAAATACTTTCTTCTTTGCGAGACAAACATTTTCTCCACAAAACTCAGATCGCGAGCGTGCAAAGCCGGAAAGAGAATTGATTAGTTCATCTCTCGAGTCTTCGGGTTTGAGTTGTTCATTCATCACGTGACAGCCCATAAGCTTTAACCAATGCAGTCTGAGCGGAAAGAGAATTGATTAGTTCATCTCTCGAGTCTTCGGGTTTGAGTCGTTCATTCATCACGTGACAGCCCCATAAGCCCAAACCCGAAGACTTCAGATAAGAGGTGAGGTGAGCTAATCATAGACTGAAGACCCAGGTAAACAATGAATTAATCTTTTCTGTTTCTTATAGCAGTTTTGTATTGTTTGTAGTGTGATCAACGTTTGCGTAAGTAGTAGACGTATTAGGGAAGTAACACGTTTTACATTTTAATTATATTTTGCTAAAATGAACGAAATGACTCGAAAAAAGATTCGTTCATTTTGCTGAACGAGACTCAAAGTTCCGAGTCGGTAAAATGATCCGAACTTCCCATCACTACATGATAAGCGCCGAATGAATGACAGGCTTTCTGTTGTAACATCGCGCAAGGTAAATAAGGGTGACATCTAGTGGAGAAGACTAATGAAGATTCACGTTAATCAGATCTTGTTTTAAATGTGTGCTGAAATAAATACCGGAAAAGATCGATTCGCAGCTTTTGAGAATCGATATCGAATACGTCATTTAAAAAAAAACGATTAATCGAAAAATCTATTTTTTTTGCCCTGCCCTTGTCCATTGCACAAGATCTAAACTCATTCTGTGCAGTTTGGGGTTCCACCAGCAGGTTCTATCAAAGTGCATGTTAATTGCAGTGGAACATAAAGTTATGTCACTATAATCAGTGGTGCACATACGTTTTTTCAGCCTGCCCTGTTGAAAAAACCAGCATATGCTGGTTAGGTATGTTTTGACGCTGGGATGCTGGTTTAAGCTGGTCCTTTGCTGGTTTATGCTGGTCATGTGCTGGCAAAGGACCAGCATAAACCAGCAAAGGACCAGCTTAAACCAGCAAAGGACCAGTTTAAACCAGCAAAGGACCAGCTTAAACCAGCAAAGGACCAGTTTAAACCAGCAAAGGACCAGCTTAAACCAGCAAAGGACCAGTTTAAACCAGCAAAGGACCAGCTTAAACCAGCAAAGGACCAGTTTAAACCAGCAAAGGACCAGCTTAAACCAGCAAAGGACCAGTTTAAACCAGCAAAGGACCAGCTTAAACCAGCATCCCAGCGTCAAAACATACCTAACCTTTTTTTCAACAGGGTGGTTCTCATATGAGAACCTGGAGATTTGGTTTGGTCCTCACACGGCACATAGTGTGACCCATCAAATATAACTATAAAAAATAAATTAATAATAGTGATAATATTATTGCACTTTATTTCGTTTTTTTTT